TAGTTTCGATTCTTATTCGATTCTTCAGTTCTTGATTTAGACCCGAGACCCGACCCGACCCGACCCAATCGGTTCTCGATTCAGGTACCCGTTCGGGTATTTAATTTATGAAGAACCGCTCGATTCGATTCGAGACTTTTGGACACCCCTATTTTTATCTTCTTCTACTCAGTGGGATGTAGAGGAAGAAGGGACTTCCTGTTTTTGTTCGCCAGTAGGTTCACGAAAGAACACCGGCCGATTTCTCTTTTCAAGTCTTGGAATAAGTTATCGGCGAGGTTCTAAGACTTTTGATAAACATGCGCACAAATTTTCGTTAATTCTTTTGTGGGCAACGCCAATTTTTGAAAAATAGAATTTGTAAAGAACAGTTTTTTTTTTATAATATATAACAAAAAAAAATGTAAATTAGAATTTATGTGCAAAATTATTTTATTGGAAAAGTGTGATTGAAAATGGGTTTAAAAAAAAAAAAAAAAAAAATTTAAAGTCTGATAACTAGTGTTAACAATCCATGGGAAGAAGTAAGTTCACTAACCAATTCGGAATGATTGTGCTTACCTATCTGCAATAATCCAATGTCTTTTCATACCTTACGAACTACAACCATCCTTATGTCCTACACAACTTTTGTGTCGTCGATGCGAAAAACTCGTAATGGATTATTATCATGCACTATTTATTTGATTGTACTAAAGTTAGTTGAATTTTCTGCGTCAAAAATAAATTTTGTTAGTGTCAATGATCAAAATTGAGGTGAGTTATAGATCAACAAAGAGGAATTTTGCAGAGTAAAAGTGTTAACTTTGCTCGAATATTGTGAAGAGAAAGAAAATTTTGGGAAAATTGCACGTCGGTCCTAAACCTTTTATTTTGCTACAAATTACACCATCATCCTTTATTTTTGCGGCCGCAGTCCCAAACCTTTATATTTAAATGCAGCCATGGTCCAAATCATAAATCCCGACCATAAAACAGTTAGCCAACGTTGAAACAGTAATTTTTACTCAAATGTACAACTTAATTGAGGGGCAAATTTGTCAAAACAAGTTATCCAATAATAAAAAAATAAACTATTTGTTTTCTCCAAATACCCCCCACCACGAAAACCCAAAATTAATACTCCATCCCTATGTGGTAGGCCACTTGACAATTCTTGTGGTAATGAAAAGCAAAAGAAGAAACTCTCTGGTGCCACAATTGCTAGTATAGTAATTGGCGCTATTCTCGATTTTGTCTTGATTTTATTGCTTATTTTATGTTTGTGTAGAAAATTGGGAAGAAAGGGAGCCGGATCAAATGATAAGACGAAGGTTGAGGGGTATGGGGTCAGGGTTCCTCTCAAGAAAATATTTGAGAGGGAACGAATGCGCCCGCCAGTAGTTTCGTGGCTGTGGTGGGGCCGAAGGAGAAGGAAAAGGGAAAACCAAATGTTATTGGTGGTGGAAAATGGAGTTTGTGTTTTGGGGAAAAAGGATATAAAGCCCCCGTTTGGCACCCATTTTTATTCATTCTCACTCTCATTTTTTTTCTCTTTCTTCATTTCAACCACACATTCTATCAATAAAATAATATTACACATAAACCTAAAAATTTTCCTTACTTTTTAATCACATATTCTTCCATCAATCACTATTCAAAAACACATTTTTTTTCAACTCATTCTCATTCTTTTTCTCTTTCTTCATTTCAACCACACATTCTATCAATAAAATAATATTACACATAAACCTAAAAATTCTCCTTACTTTTTAACCACACATTCTTCCATCAATCACTATTCAAAAACACATTTTTTCACAAAAATGGGTGTCAAACACCCCCAAAGTTTGATTTGGATGATTTACTGAAGGTTTCGATCAAGGTGTTGGGTGGGGGATGTTTGGAACTACGTACAAGGCAGTGTTGGAGACGAACTTGGCCGTGGTGGTAAAGAGGCTGAGAGATTTGAGTTTGGGAGAGAAGGATTTAGGTCGGTGATGGTGGTGTTTGGAGTGGTGACGGTGGGCGGTGCATTGGGTAGATCAGCAACGATGATGGCAGTGACTGGGATGGGGTGGGGTATTTGGAGAAAACTAACAGTGTTTTTTTAAATTATTGGTAACTTGTTTTGAGAATTTTGCCCCTGAATTAAGTTGTCCATTTGAGTCAAAAGTATTGTTTCAACGTTGATTGATGATTTTATGGACGGAATTTGTGATTTGGATCGCGGCCACATTTAAATATAAAGGTTTGGGCCTACGGTTACAAAAGTAAAATGTTAAGATGTAATTTGCAGCAGAATAAAAAGTTTGGGACATGCGCTGCAATTTTCTCGAAATTTTTTATTAAAAAAAAGTGTTTTAACGTGATGGAATGTTGTAAAATGAAAGGAATTCTATTAGAAAGTGCTTTTGTAGTGTATTACAAATGATTGCTTAACTCAGCCCTTTGTAGGGACCATATATAGATCTTTTAAAATGATATTGCCATCCTCCATCAGGCATCATGTCAAATTGTAGTGTCTAAACTCAATACATATGTTACCGCCCTATTCGAAAAGATTTGATTGGATAATGAATTCGACCAGCCAAATCATTATTACACCTAGATAGTTGTGGCCTAAATCATCGTCACTTATTATCTAGGCAATCATTACTCTCATCTGATTGGTAGATGTGACAGTACTGATGTCAAAGGTAACATTTGCCCACTTTCAATTGATTTTTATTGGACATTATTTCTATTGGTCGTGATATTTTCAGATTATGCAGCCTATATATGACTAACTACGCTACACGAACAAGGCCATTCGTTTAGATTTATTCATAGATGACCGTTCTTATTGGATGAGTCCCATGGTTCTTCTGTCGCTGTGATTTGAAGATTTAACTCCTTGAATTAGCTTTTGTAGTGGGTTCAGGGTGGACCTTGAAATCGGACACCAACCGTTGTAATTCATGTTTGACAAAAGTAATTCAACATTGATTAAAACATGAACAGTAGACAACCAAATGAAGTAATCAAATTCAACAAACAATGAATTGACTGGTTTTTTTTGCAACCAATTGATACAAATGTAAAGTACAAAATACCAAGATACACAAATGTAACAAAGCAAAATGAAAACAGGAAAAAGAAAACAATTAAACTGTGAAAATGAAAAAAATAAAAAGAAGGACAAAATTGTCTCAAGTCTTACAAATTTAATCACAATGAATGTAAAGTGCATTGGACTCAAGGGGTGGCAATTATTCAAAAACACTCAGTATGTCCAAGAAAATCATGTCTGTAATAAATCCTCTCTAATGTCACAACCAATGTGTTGCAACCATAGCAACTCCAAAGGCCACCATCTGCAAAATGCCATGCATGGCAAGGACATCTCCGCCGGTAGCGGCCGAGGAATCAGTGCCCACCACAGGGCTGTCGGCCACCGGAGTCTTCTTCTTAAGCTTTGGGGAAGATGGGGCTGGGGCTGAGGCAGGAGCCGGAGAAGCAAAAATCTTCAAAGGAAGAAGCACCTTGTCTACTTCATACACTGCCAATTGGTTGTCTGTATAAATTGTGTTGGCCACTGTGGCATCATTTATACCTGTTATGGATCAAAATCACTCTAATAAATTCTTACCCAATTGGCAATAAGTATAGAACACATTTTTGATGCCCAAAAGTATACCGAATTTACTTATAAGCTACTTATGTTGTCGAATAAAGTCAACTGCAAAACTTTACTTTTTTTAAAGTAACTTTTAAACACATCTAAACATGTTTCGTACAAGGCCCTATCTTCATCATTCACCCTACGGTCATATACTAACTTGGGAATCGGAGGGGAATGGGAAAATATCCCGCACCATTTGTTGCGATTGAGGAAGAAGACAATACCTGTGGACACATTGACTTGGTTGCCAGATGTGGTAACGTTTAGAGGGAACTCCCCATCGACACTGTCCCCAGCTTGAGTCCTCAATGGATTGCTCACAGTTTGAAACTGTGACATTGTAAGAAAATTAGGCAAAATATGAAATTGCAGTAACGAAACTTTCTGCTGGTCACTTAGGGAATTTAGGGTTCCTGATTTGAGGCTGGCAAATGCATTATCAGTTGGTGCAAATACAGTTAACCCCTGGTTTGAATTGTTAAGCGCCGTATTTATCTGATCACCTACTTGTGTGGTCTTCATAATCCTGATCAGTGTCGTGAACTGGCCGGCCTTTTCGAGGATTTTCGTTATGTTGGTCGGACCAGCTGGTGCAGGTGGTTGTGCCAGTGTCTGAGCTAGGGTTTTCGTGGAGATCAGGAGGAGAAGTACAGAAATGAAGAGAAAGTAAGAGAATGACTTCATTTTTACGTATAATTTTTGAACAAATAATTGTGGGCTAAGTCACTTGAAATATAGATAAAATGTTGGACTGCAGTGTGTGATTTATTGAAGGTGAAAGGGGAATATGGGGGGTTTTATAGTGAGGAAGAGAAAAGAATATGTTAGGTGACATGTTATTTTAGTTGGAAAATATGATAAATTGTTTGGTGAAAGGTTGCAATTATAGTCAAGTGTTTCGATAAAAATTTCCTTCTCATCTTACTTAGAAAATCCGTTAAGCTTTTGTTTGATTTAGCTAAAACAATTAATAAAAATTTAAATTAAAATTGATAATTAATTCTAACCACACATTTCATGGAACTCGTAACTTTATTAATTTTTCAGATAACAAATTTCATCAACTTTTTGATTTTTAGCAAAACCAAACAGATAAAATATGGTAATTAAGAAACCGAATAAAGGAAATTCCCAACAATTTCTAGATATTTGAAGTCAAAACATAATACTCACCTTGTAATGTAAGGCATGCACAAAGATGTTTAATATGGTAAAATTAAAATTGTTTAACTAAATTAAGCATCGAACAATTACCGCTAAAAAAATCATCGTATTCCGTGAAGCTAAAAAATCATATTTCTAGCAGATTTTAACAAAAAGTTAATGAAATATATGGTTGAAAAGTTGTGGATCCTATAATATGTGTGGTTAAAATTAACTGATAACTTTAAATTAAATTTTTATTAGTTTTTTTTAGAAAAAGAATATATACACACATACCATGGATTGCTTGGAAATGCAGGAAAAACAGGATATATATTAAGTGGGACGATGGGGGAATTATTAAAGAAAAGATATGTCCGTGCATTAATTATTGCTTTGGTACCACTTTTAATATGAAATTTCTGAACTATAATTTGCTTGGTACAAACTTAAGAATGAAGTTTTCAATGAAAATCAACCAATGACGCCACTCCATTGCAGCTCATGGACCAATTTGAATGGACATGTCTCCTACACTCAACCGATGTAATAATTTCACTTGAATTTCGACAATATAATGAATAAATTTTCTAGACGGGCCCTACAAGATTTCTTTTTTTTTTTTTTTAATTCTTTTTTAAAAAGTAAATCAACTCTCTCTATTGCATGGCCCGATAAAGATAGTCGAACTCGCATTGACACGTGTTGTGCAGCTCACGAACTTCAACTAGGTTTTACCCTTATGTATCCTACTTTGTTGTGACGTTAAGGTTTTTAAAAAATAACAATATTTTTTGGGAAAATTGCGGCCGTGGTCCCAAACCTTTTATTTTGTTGCAGATTACACCCATACCTTTTATTTTTACGACCGAAGTTCCAAACCTTTATATGTAGTTGTAGCGTCGGTCTCAAGCCTTTAATTTCGTCCATAAAACCGTCAGTCAACGTTTCAACAATAATTTTGACTTGAAAAAATTGTAACGCTGGTCCCAAATCTTTCGTTTTGTTGCAGATTACACCCAAACTTTTAATTTTTGCTGCCGAAGTCCCAAACCTTTATATATAATTACAGCGTTGGTCCATTTCACGCATTCCGTCCATCAAATCGTTAGTCAATGTGATGAGAATGTGATGACTGTGAAAAATTTGAAGGATTTGAAGAAGATAAACATCTTTTTATAACTTGTTTTGACAATTTTGCTCATCAATTAAACTTATTAAAAAAATAGAAGTTAAAAAGAAAGAATCATATGCAACACCAACATCTTGTATGTCGATTAGCAATGTTGGTTATTGTCACGATATTATTGATGACATTATTGTTGGTAATACCAACTGACGGGACCTGTTAATAATATCACTGATGATCATCCTCGAAATTCCTATAATTGATCATTTGCCTTGTTTAATCAATTTATTATTTTTTTCAAAGAGGGGCCTCTAAAAGTTTTTGCCTGAAAGTACTTCTAATTGCTTGAATAGCCTATAGTTGAATTTTGATGTTAAAGGGAGGAAAGAAGAAAAGCATGTTACTTGTTCTTGTGTTTGTCTCTTAATCAAATGATGTACACAAATTCAGTGTTAGAATTGGGTTGTGATCCGAATTGCTGTTGAGTATTTGATTGGAAATATTGTTGGAGTAGTATTGAAATTTGGTAGTAGACTTGAAGATATCTTGATGGAGTATAAGGTGAATTGGCTCCTACTTCATCCTATATTCTCCATTATTGATTTTACCCATTAAATTGGGACTTCACATTATATTAAACTCTTCGCGTATTATTTCTTCTAATATGTTAGGGATTTTTTGGTTATAAATATGTGATGTACAACGCATATTGAAATTGACCAATTGTCCAATTTGTTATTCGTCCAAAAAGATAATTTGTAACTCCTTACTAATGATTATAGTGAATTCTTTGCCTTTGCCTATGGTTTTTCTGGATTTGGACTTCCACGTAAATCTTGTTTTCTTTGTAATCAATTATTTTCATATTGCCCTTATTTTCTCGTCTTTAATTATTTGCTTGGATTCTTAACAAAGTGGTATAGAGCGATTTAGGTATTTGTGTTGTTTCCTAACAAGTGGTATCAAAGCCAATATTTTTTTACAATTTCTTGGGAAGTACAAATTGGTTATTAAAGTGAGGTTTGAACAAGGTCAGTTGTTTCAGGATGACAACTATGAAATTTGAGATTCCAATTTGGATCGTAACAAGATTTTTTGTTTGAATGCTAGAGGAGAAGCAATGTAATGATCAATTATATATCTTGGAAGGTTCAACGATCACTTTGGATGCAGTTGCAGCTTATGGGTCGATAAATGGTAACTCAAGTAGAGTTGGTTGTGATCGGGTTGCTCATGGTGATTCGAGTAATGATATTGAAGAACTTCATTGTAGCTCAGGTGGAGCTAGTTGTGATCTTATTGATCATGTTGCTCATGGTTATTAGAATAGATTTGACAATTCAAGTGGAGTTGGGAAGTGCTCGTGGTGATTCAAGAAAGTTTGATGACTCGGCTGGAACTGGTAATGAATGAGATGGTTCATGTAGATTTATCGCGCAAGGTAATTATGCTGGTAAGCAGGGTTTGAAATTTGTTCACAGTTGTTGAGTATGCCCGGATGGCATGGTGGAATGGGTGAAGTAATTTGGTATAGTGTTTTGTTTCGAGAATTTTGTTGGAATTGAAGAGTTGAGTTTTATTCCTTATAATGAAATTCGTGTCAATGTAGAGTTTGTTAGAATTGGATTGTGATCTAAATTCTTGTTGAGAATTTTATTGGAAATACTGTTGGAGTATTGAGAGTTGGTAATAGATTTAAGGGGTATTTTCAAGAATATCCACAATTAAGGGCGTGAGTTGAAAAGTGTCCAATTTTCAAATTTAATATTAAAGTGTCTATTATGCCCTTAATGAAAAAAAAAAGACATTTGAATCTCTATGTATTCTCGACATTTAAAATGTCATTCTCGACATTTGAATCCCGTTTTATATTTCAATAGTACACACGTCAAATCAAAATATTAAATGTTCTCGACATTTCAAAACGTCATTCTCGACATATTAAATGTCTAGAAGGACATTTCATTTCAAACATGGCATTTCTCTACACTTGAAATCTCGACAATTCTGTGTTAATGCAAAAAATAGTATTAATTGTGATTTGACATCNGATTTGTCATCTTGTCATTTGCAATAAATGTAGCAGTTTATGTGTCTAGATTTCATCAGCCATTATTTTTTTACTAAAATGTCCATTTTATTGTCCTTGAATGAAATCATGAATTGTTGACTATGGTATTTTGGTCTAAAATATATCAAAATGACCATTTTTGCAAGGATTTTTGAAAGTTGTCATTTTGCAAGTGGCTAGAAGAAAGTGGACATTTCTTGCACTTTCCACTAGATTTAAAGATGTCTTGAATGAGTCCAAGGTGAATTGATTCATATTTCATCTCAAATTCTTCATTATTGATTTTACCCATTATTTTGGAACTTTACCTTATATTAAATCTTCATGTATTAATTTTCCAAGCATGTTCGGGATTCTTTAGTTATAAATATGTGATGTACAACACATCGAAATTTACCATTTGTCCAATTTGTTATTGGTCTAAAAAGATCGTTTGTAACTCATTATTATTGATTACAGTGAATTATTTGCCTTTACTTATTATTTTTCTGAATTTGGGTTTTCACATAAATCTTGTTTTCTTTGTGATTCATTATTTTCATACTGCCCTATTTTTTCGTCTTTAATTATTTTGTCGGATTTTCAATAAAGTCATATCAGAGCGATTCTGGTAACTGGGTTGTTTTCTAACATTAAGTTTTGTGCATATACTATTGAGTTACAAAAGACCTATTGTCCATTTTCCTTTTTCTCGACCTTTCACATCCCCCTTGAAAATTTATACACGAGATGTCTTGTCAAATGAAAAATACAATCGTTCATTTCAACATGAATATTGATTTTGCTATAAAGATTGGGGACCACCACCTGCTCGAGGTGAAGCTCCACCTCGTGACCCTAGCTCAATGTCGTCGTTGTACACCGATGATCCGCCACCTTGATGGCAGTGCTTGGGAGAAGGTGATTTCTTGGTGTCCGAATGATCAGTATCATAGATCAATTTTGGTGGAGAAATGTGGAGACTGTTGATTTCAATTTCACTTCTATAATGGCGCAAGAGATGCAGAGGCGACGTTCCATGGGAGGGCGTTGTGGGTCGACTTGGCATTGGTGTTCCCGCCCTCGATTTGTTTTGCTTAACATTTTCTCTGGCTGTGTGGTGCCAATTTCTAAGAGCGGCTACTACTCTATCGTTGAATATGGTTGGTTTCATCGTTGACCCCATCTGTTGATACCACGTAAAAAAGAGTTAGCATTGATTAGTAAAAGATAATTCGTCGATAAAAACATTTAAAAAATATGTTTCATTTTAAGTACGATCAAACATACAAATGAGATTTTCGGCCGAATTTTAAAAACTTTTTGCCCTTCACGATTGAGCCATGCACATTTTGGAAGGATCAAAGAAAGTAAACGAAGAAACACATTTCCTAATTAATTATTATGTGTGATTTTAACAACAATTATTATGCAGGCATTTGTCCTTACCTGAGTTACAAGGGCATAAAGCGGTAGAGTGACATAGCTGCATAAAATCTGTATAAGAACCCTGATAATCAATAATAAAAAAAAATTTATTAATTATTCTAAAAAGAATAAGTCAAAAATAAGAAAACAAAATAATAAATTAATTAAAAATGCAGACCCCATTGAGATTCTAATAACGATATCGTCCTTATGTTCGTGGAAACAAGATCCCAAACTGAATTCATACTGTAATCAATTAAAAAAAATGAATAATATTAGTTTATTTAATCTCACACACACACTAGATTATTAATAAATGAGAAATTTTGCAGCTTATTTTGTGTAACTTACTGTACTCCAGGCAAAGAAGGCAAGTTGAAATGCATTCTGTAATGGTGAAAAATTAGCAGCATTAGTTTAAGGAAGTGAATTATATTTAAGAAGCAAGAAAGAAGACTATGTATGTAAATTTATTCATATATGATGTCTATGATAAACGAGTTGAGTAATCGGAACATGTGTTGGAATGTTCGATTTACTATTAAATATGAACAACAAAGAGAGACACGTGAAAAAATTTATTATTTGTCATCTGGTTCGTGCCCAACTTTTTAAATCTACTCATAAAATTTTAACAAGCGAGCCAAAGATTTAAAATTTTTGAGAATCATTAATCATTACAATCCGAGTTACTCCATCCATCCCCTTTAAATAGGCCGATTTTCCTTATTTTCTGGTCTCATTTATATAGTCAAATTTCTTTTTGAGAAATTATTTGTTTTGTTCATTTACATTCTTGGAATTATCCAAATATATATACGCATTTCTTGCTTTTTCTTGAAGACATTGACAAAAGCACGTAATTTACTACTAGTTGTTGATAATTAAATAAACGTAAACTAGGAAAATTCTTTGTAAAAATTACTTTTTTAATAACATTAAGAGTGTGTTTGGTAGGGATTTTTGGGGGAAGAATTGATTTTTGAATAGTGATCTGATGAGAAATGTGTGGTTGAAAAAGAAGAAAAAAATATTGATGTGATGGAAAATATTATTTTATTGAAAAATGTGTAGTTGAAAATGAAAATTGATTTACTGTAGAAAAATCTAAATCCCTCCCAAACAGGGCCTTAGTTTTGAGAGGAAATCCTTGAGATGAACAAATTGCGTAGTGATGGATGTGTCATCACTGCCATTCAGCTCTTGGTACTTCCGCAATTTCATAGATGATAGGTTCTCATAACAATGGGTCTGATTTTCCAGCAGCTAACCACATATTCGAATCNTGAGAATCTATACCAAACATGCTCTAAATAAGTAAGACATGAAAAGAACAAAAAATTATATTTACCTGAAATAGGACGAAATTAATGAGGTGGAGGATGAGACGAGGACGGTTAAACCAGAAAAGATCGTCTCCAGGCTCGACGACAACTACACCCTTAACAACCTCGCCTTTCTCTTGGATTCTTAGCCCCATTTTAGTTATTATCACTTGTAGCTTGGTCCCGACTAGCAATATGATCTGTTGGTACAATTAGTTATTAATTATATTTGGTTATTTTCAAAATAAATAAAATGTCAACTCACAATCAATGGGAGAAATGGGAGCCAAAGATAAGAATGCCAGCCTGTCCACAAAAATATAAAATTTCATCAGAAAATAATATGTATTTGATGTATATTGATATTGATTTTGTATTGCATTTTCAAAGTAATTCTAAATAAGTTGCCAAATATCTTTATTATAAGTGTCTAAGTGGATATGTATGTATGTATGCACGTGTGTGTATGTATGTACGTATGTGTGTCTGTGTATGCGTTTACGAACATAGCGCATGTTTTATATGTGTGCGAACGACCAACTCACTTAAAGTACGACTCATAATTGCGACTACATTATTCTTTCGCCATTGGGGGTATACGAATTTTCAAGAAGACGATCCATATCAGACTGAAATGAATCGAATTGGTATGACTTTAAAACTTTCATAACGATAATTATATGTATGTGTGTGCACGCGCTCTTACGAACATAGCACATGTTTTATATGTGTGTGAAAGATCAACTCACTTAAAGTGCGACTCATAATCGCAACTATTTTATTCTTTAACAATTGGGAATACACGGATTTTCAAGAAGACGATCCATATCAGACCGAAATGAATCAGATTGGTATGACTTTAAAACTTTCATAACGATAATATTTTTGTCGAGTCATGACAAATTAAATGCATACTTGTGCTATGAAATGAAATAAGAATATCTTATTTACGTATGCCAATGAGTTGACTAAATGTTAGCATATATAATTATTGAATATGCTAAGTAGTATTTATTTATTTATTTATTTTGACAAAGATATTCAACTAAGTTGGTTTAAACTACTGCTAAAACATTTTTATTAATAATTTAAACTCTTGTTGACTCACCATGAACGTTGAAAAGTAAGAACAGCACAGCAAAGAGCCAGATTGGTGGACTGGCATAAGAACAACAAAAATATTAGTGAAAAGAAATAAAAGATGAGAAATAATTAATTTGTCTCTAATAATAAGTGAAAAATGCCTTGCGATAGTAGACAGTTGATTTTATTAAGGGTCCATTTGGTCGAACTTCTGATTTGGCTTATAATTTTTTCAGAAAAAATTTCTAAGAAATCTGTCTTAGGTCAGCATTCTAAAAGCTCTGCTAACTAGGTAAAATACTTCAAGAAAATTATTTAAATATATTGAAAAACATTTTTTTAGTTTCAAAATAATTTGACTTTTTAAAAAGGGGAATTGATAATTGTAACGGGGGAGTTGACAACCCCTCTCATCGGCCCCTCACAATAGTGCGGTAGGTTGAAAACCCCCCTCACCGGCCCCTCACAATAGTGCGGTACACGTCAACCTTTGCCAAATGCCCCCAAATCTTTAAATTCCGTAGTTGACTTCAAATTTATTTACTAATTTTCTGTAAGTGTCCTATGTTTAATAACTTAAATTTTCGGATAAAATCATGAATTCGACATGTTAGTGAAAGAATATGATGACGACTAAATTTAAATAAATAATATTTTTATCTTTTTAATATCTTAAATTTTTAAATGAAGTAATTAAATAATAAATGCTTGTTAACACCAACCTAATTCCAACAACCACTTTGAAATCCTCTTCCAATGATCTTTGGATATACTTTTGAAAATCAAAATTTGTGTGGCTATGAGGTGCCAAATGTGCCTGAAAATTAAAAAATTATCACAGAAAATTAAATAAAATCTCTACAATTAAAATACTCATATTCTACAAAAGAGGAAAGGAAAATTACCATAATAAATCCATGTCTTAGGGTCAAATAATCTACTTTAGGGACGGACCTGACGAATTGCCTAAAGAAACAAACCTGAATTTGAAATGTGAAAAACGTCAATAAAAAGTTATAGCGGCATCAAAGATATGAAATTTACACGCTATAAAATATGTTTAGTACGTTGTACTGTCCGAAATAAATTCAAAATGATATTCAAGGATGATATGTGAATATTGTTTTAGTTATTTTATCTAATTCGACTTGTCAAATATTTGTATAAGTATTAATTATATTATATGTAATCATTATATAAAGATGAAATCATACAAGTTCTTTAAAAATCATTTTTCTTCAAATTCTTTTAAATTCTTAATAAAATATTTTTTCACGAAAACCCATAATTTTTTTAAAAAAAATGTTAATTAGGCATTCTTTGAAAATTTACTTTTTATAAAATTTATTCTATAAAAATCAACATCAAACGAGTTGAATTGGCCTTTGGAAAGGTCAAGAGCAATCATCTTGAAAGTCAAATCAATGTGAATGGATCATTCCATCGATAGTGACTTGCAATTGACTTCCCAATAATTTGCCATTTAGGACAATCTCAATAATATTTGACAAAATTAAGATTTTAGAAATATTTCTAACTTGTCTTGTAACATCTTAGCTACTAAGCCCATGTTTGGTTTGGATTAAAATTCAGTTAAAATTTCAAGTCAAAGTCAACAATTAATTTCAACCACACATTTCATGGGACTCACAACTTTTCAAGCACAGATTTCATCAACTTTCATCAAAATCTACTAAAATTTTGATTTTAATCTCTACCAAACATGGGCTAAGTAAGATTAATGAAGAAAAATTAATAATTATCTGCTCTCAACTATACAATAATTCCATAATGTTATGGAATGTAATATTTTATTATAATTAATTAACTAACTATTGCTGAATAAATTCCTTCGTTCATAAATTTACACTTGTTATATATTTTGACAGTAATTAACATTAAACTGGTTGAGGAAGTGTAAATTTGTAGAAATTCAGAAACTACTTACAATCCATAGTAGAAAGGGTGTTTTGCTCCAAAAGCTCAAATGCCTTCTTCCAAATGATGTCTCTCTCGCAAACCTAAATCGTTCAGGATCTGCACTGAATGTGACTTAGATATGCATATCATTGCTCCAAGTTCTTGTATCTTATTTTCAAATTTGGTTGACTTTAAATTTTATCGTTAAAGTCCATAATACTATTAAAAGAGGAGTCGAGTAGTGTAGAACTTCGATCCTACCATGGGAAAACTGGTACTCGACTGTTCGTGTTTCCTTTTCCCATGCTTTCCAACGTCTCATCTGAAACCGAGAAGAAATTCCAAGTATATATCACAAGTCTAGCAATGTATACGTACGTCTTTTCATTATTTGGTTAATCTGACTCTACGGTACTCGATAATATTAAGAAAATAAATAGCTTAAAATTTTGTTCTTTGTACTTTTATATGAATTTAAATTACCTTGGCTCTTCCCAAAGCCAGAGTGAGGATACAATAGAGGACATGAAAAACAGCCAAAACAAAGATGAATATATGTAGCTGATGAATACCATCAGCAGACACAAAAGGAACTTTACCCTGCAAAAAAATCATGGAAATTTTATGTCAACTTCAATTAAGTTTGTTCAAACATGGTATCAGAACAGGCAAAAAAGTGAAGCGATAATAAGCTTCTAGTCGTGCCTTGCGTGCACATTTGTCAGTACTGGCAGCAGCCAGCACCCGTCGTGCGCCACCATACACGAGAAGTTTTCGGCGATGTCCGTCCGCTTGCGGTTTATCGCAAGGGTGCCATGTTGCTCCAATTTTTTCAGATATACATATATCTGAAATTGGACCTTGTCCTACTGTTAGCAACAAGGATATAAATCCCAGCAGCATCAACTCTTAATCCCATAAAAAAAAAAATTAAAAATTGAATTAGTGCATAAATAATCTTCTGATTGTAATTTTTTTTTTAAAATGGAAAAGCCAGTCATGATACCTGATTTGATCTTTTCAAGTGCTTCATATAGAGCATTTTTGTGTTTCGACTTCAACCACTGTAATTTAAGTAAAATCTATGAATTGAGTATAAAATGGTTATAATTAATTAATAGTTCTAGTAGCACTTTCAATACGCTAGACTATACAGCTCGACTAGTTATGACCAAAAACAAAAACATCTATCAAAAATGCCAAATTTGGTGTTATTGCATGCTTGCCTAAATTAGCCCTCTTAATGAGGAAAAAAAGGGGTTTACAGCATGTTTTTTGCAGGGTTTTTGAAAAATCGAAAGTAGATTCTGAGACTAAGAAGTTACTTTTGATGCTTGAACAAGTACGTCTAGCTAGAATAGCTTTTAAACGAAATTGGCGTAAAATAACCTTCTCGAAAAGTTCTTCTACGAGCAGTAAAAGCAAATACCTGCCAAACGGGTTCTAAATCTTGTTTTCTATATTATACAATAGTTGTCTAGTACCATGTGATAATGAATTGTTTGATATATCGAACTGCAACACACGTACTAATTAAACAGTATCAAAAAAATATTGTTTTGACTCTTGTTTTTGTATTAGTATTGCAGCATACCTTTCCAATAAGATGGATGATGTACTCGATGAAAATAGAAACAGCAACTAAAACAAAACAAACTACAGCAACTGCCCATGTCGGAGTTTGCTCCAGTGATCTTCCTCCGCCTCCTCCGGCCATATTCCGACCTCGACCGTCACCGTAAACTCTGTTTCGAAATATGAAGTTCTCTTCACACTTTAAAAAGGAAGAAACTTCATAGAATTTATATAAATGAACTTTCTTTGAAATTGTAAAATGTATATAGATTTTTTGTAGAGAAAAGAAGGGATAAGTGACAGATGAGTATTGACTTAAGAGACGCGTGAAAGAGATGGGAATTCCAGGACTTGATCAAAGCTTTTTTAAAATAAACAGATTTCTTTCTCTTTTGGATTATAATTAAATTTGTGGCTATATGTGAAAGAAAGAAAATTATTCTAGAAATAATTGCCACTCTCCATTGTCTCTATCCTAATTAAAATTAGATAATCGATTATTGATGCCACTTATAAGTTAGAAGTTTGATTACAATTACATTATCCATTGATTAAACTGATTAAGATTTTCTGGATTTTCCTTTTGGACATCCGAACAAATCAAAGGTCTGAGAATTAATAAAAATTGCACTTGAGATGCCGGTCTATCTTGGGGAATAATTGGTCGAAACCGTTAATCCAAGTATTAATTAATGAGAATAAGTCTCGTTTGGTACCGGTAAATAATTTGATTAAAATCTAAATCAAAGTCAACAATTAATTTTAAATGACATATTTCATAGAACCCACAACTTTTTAACCACACATTCTATCACACTTTATCAAAATTTACTAAAAATCTAATTTTAAACTCTACTAAACATGGGCTAAACTATTAATTAATGTCTATGAAATTCATTTTAAAAAGTCAGTCGGTAATTAATTTTATGGGTAATTAGCACATAACGTCCCCACATTTCGATGTTATTGTGGAAAACGTCCATACCTTTCATTTTTTTTGCATTTTCATCCTTATATTCACATTTCATTGCACAAAAGGTCAATTTCATTAAATGTCTCAATTAAAATTCGTAAAATGATGAATATACAATATCTCTAAATAAAACAAAAGGAAAAAAGAAAAATTTAATTGCAAACATAATCCCAATTTTTTTTTAAAAAAAATACAAATGAGTCCCAAATAAATTATTAAAGGGGTAATTAGTACATAATGTCCATATCTTTTACTATTATTGTAAAAAAGTCCATATCTTTTATTTTTTTTGGCTTTCACTCTTAATTACATATTTGATTATGCAAATCATCATTTATATCCATTTTCATCCAATTTCTCATTTAAAAAATGTGAAATAATTAATATACCCTCCTATTTAAATTTTTTTTAAAAAAATGCTAAACAATTAATTGCAATCACAGTCCCAATTTTTTTAAAAAATTTGCAAACGAGTCGTCAATAAATTATTAAAAAAATTAATTTTTATAAAAAAATGCAAACGAGTCCCAATTAAATTTATTTAAAAATTAAAAAAATTTAAAATAAAAATAAAATGTGCAAACGAGTCTCAAATAAATTATTAAAGAATTAGAAATCAAAATAATTATTTTTATATTTAAATATGAGTGTATATTTAGCTATGTCAACGAGCTGGGTCGAATCGAGCCGTGCAAAAACCGGCCAAAAAAATTAGGCTCAACCCTAGCTTTTGCCCCAAGCCTTAGGGGCCCGAGTCGAACCCGGGCCTAGCCAGCTCAGGTTTTTGCATTTTTCTAAAAAAATAAAAAGGCTGCCTATTTTCAGGCAGCTTGCTGCCCTGCCTACAAGCAGCTTACTGCACGAGCTGGCAACAAGCTTGCTGCCTGGAAAATAGCTACTTGTAAAGGCAGGTTGCTGCCACAAGCTTGCTGCCTGCAAAGGCAGTTGTTTTAAAAAAAATTAATTTTAATTTTTTTTTATTAATGGGCAAACTCGCCCAGGCCACGGGCTCGAGCCAAAGCCCCAAAACGGGGCTCGGCCCGAGCCGGGCCCAGCTAGGGCTTTTTCAGGGTCGAGCCGTCAAATTTTTTTGTAATCCCTATGTATATTCATTATTTCACAGTTCTTTATTGAGAAATTTGATGAAAATGGTCACAATTAAATGTGTAATTAATGATGAAAATGCAAAAAAAATAAAATGTATAGACTTTTTCGCAATAACGGTGAAAGGTATGATTGTATTAATTACCGTTTTAATAATTTATTTGAAACTCATTTGCGCTTTTTAAAAAAATTTGGGACTATGATTGCAATTAATTTTTTTTTCTTTTTCGTTTTATATAAAGAAAATGGTATAATCGTCATTTCACAGTTTTTAATTGAGAAAATAAATGAAAAGAATCTTTTGCTCAATGAAATATGAAAATAAGAGTAAAAATGTCAAAAAATAAAAAGTATGAAAGTTTTTCACAGTAACAATAAAATGTATGAATATTATGTGCTAATTACCTTTTAAGTAATTTAAATTTATCTCTCAACATACTTTCGTAAGATGATTCATTTGAGGTACTGAAACATAATTGCTCACTTGAGCTTTTGATGGATTATTGTTTGTTTATTATTTCGATGCATAACCGTTGAGGAGTTTATCCAAAAACTTGTCTTACATCCTGGGAACAACAACCAATAACCAACGTATCATAATGCAAATTTTATGTGGAACATTGGGAATGATAATTGTATTACACAAATTAATTTATAGTTCTTTTTTCATAAATTAATAAAAATTAAAATAATGATTATATTGTCACCACAATTTTTATTTGATTTATCACATTTTAATTGCAGTTAAACTCTTCTATTTTTGTCTATTGTAGCGATTATTTTCTTAACTTTTTTCCGTAGAATTCTTATCTTCAACCTTCCATTAATTGGTATATTTCCTCATTGATAATGATTTATATCAAAATATTTTGTTTCCGTGCTTTGAAATGAGAGAAAAGATTTTTCGTACTTTTTTTTAATATGATGAAAAAATAAGCTCATGTTTGATAATCATTTTTTCAAAACTCTTTATTTTTTTCACGTACTCATTTTCAACCACACATTCTCACAATAAATTTTTTTTTTTAAAAAATCATACTTTTTAACAACATATTCTCTAACAATTTACCATTGAAAAACTCATTATAGGCGAAAAATGACAGTCAAATAGGGGCTAAGTTGTTTTACGCTATTTAAACGAATTTTTGGGTATAAAACTGTTATGAAATACTAAATGCATTGATTACTAGAAAGTTTGAGGACAATAATGTTATGCAAAATTATTAGGGCCATAAATATAATAATGAGTAAAGATTAAGAACTTTAAGTACAATTAAAATTACTTGCAAGAAATAAAAATTATGGTCGGAATATAATTAGTCAAAATAAAAACATGAAAGATAGTCAATAATAAATTTTAAATAGTTGTTTTTTGGTCAGAATGAATTAAGTTAAAATGCTTCGAAATATTCTACTTTGGGGAGTCTATAGAAATTGATAGAACATAAAAAATGGGATCTAAATGTAAATAATAAATAATACGAATGGAAAGCGAGCGACGTTTTATTTAGTTCATGTTTGACATCCATTAATTTATTTTATAATTTGTTACAGAATCATTTTCAATCACACAATAAATTATTCTACACGTATATAAAAAAAAATCCGTACTTTTTAATCACACATTCTCCTAAAATCATTATTCAAAATTTGTTTTTCAGAATAACAATTTTCAAACATGCTCTTAATTTACAATTCAAGTCAAACAATCAATTTAAAGGAGTAAAAATTTAGCGTAAAATACGGTAAGAAAATCCACTTTACATTAGAATTGTTAGATATTTTTTCATCATTTTGCATGTTTATTTTGTTTTGAGAATGTTTTGCGGCTCCGACTAGTGTTTATATTTTGTTTCTTCCAACATATGCGTTCATTCATTTCAAAGGACACAACTTTTCAAATAATTGCCTCCATTTCTATATATTTTG